AAAAAAAAATCCCACATGCATACTACCCTTTAGGGCTAAGTCCCGGGTGTTTCAAATGTCTGGCTCCGCCTCTGGTTTGCATCTTGCAGTGAGCCCTCTATATTTACTTTCATGGAGTCTTCTCTTCATGGTAGACTTGGATATTGCTATGCCTAACCCCTGGAGAGCATTGCTCATTTGGTTGGCTGTCTTTAAGGGGTTTGTCTTCACCATGGAAATGATTCTGCGATCATCCACCACTGTTGTTTTCCATGGACGTCCAGGTTGTTTTGTGTTGTTCAAATCACCAGTGCTTTTTTTTTCTTTCTCAAGATGTACCAAAGTGTAGATTTTGCCACTCCTACTATTGCAGAAATTTGTCTAATTGTTTTTTTTTCTGTTTTTGCAGGTTAAGGTCGGCTAGTTTCACCTGCATGGAACACTTATTTGACTGTACCACGTCTTTTCACAGCAAAATCTTCCACATGTAAGCACCGCACTTTAAATCAACTCCAGGCCTTTTATCTGCTTAATTGATAATGACATAATGAAGCAATTGCCCCACCTGCCTATGAACTAGCCTTTAAATCAATCGTCCAAATACTTTTAAAAAATGGTGGCACATGTTGAGCTGAAACTCCTAAACCCTTCATCCAGATTGAACGTGGATACCTTCAAGTAAAAGCTGAAAGTCTACACATTATGTCCATCATATAATTTAAAATGGAGTATGTTTCAGTAAACGGGTAAAAAAAACAACAAAAAAACCCCAAACAAACAACAACTTGTGTCAGTGTCCAAATATATATGGACCTAACGACCTAATGTAGAAAAAACTTAAAATCCATCCAACTACAATAGCAGATATATATTCCACTTCCTGTATCGGTGATGACGCAAACATTCTGGTGACAAGTACTTAAAGATGATTAAGGCAATTAGAAGATGATCCAGGAGTGGGATAATGACACTGCAGTTGGGAAAGTCTTAGTGGGAGATGTTGAAGTAGGTAGTTAAATAGATGAAGGCACATGATGGGAATTT